AAACCTGAATTTATCTTTCTGCATTTTAAATCTCATTTCTTGTTCTATTCATGCTAACCTGGAGAAAAAATAATCCTTTTCATTCTGAGGCAGCCCAGAAGACATACCTGAAGGCATTTTTCTTATCAGATTTTTTTTTCCTATGGACTAAACAACACCAGTTCTTCAAACTTTCCTCAGAAATCATGCTTTAGGCCCTGATCACTCTCACTGTTCTCCTTTGGACTCACTTCCTTTGTGAATTATAACGCTAAATGCTAACTACAGTAACCTAGGTGAGACCTTACTGATGTTGTGTCCTGTTATTTCCCAAGTTTTACAAGCTACATTTCTGATTTAGCATTAAAAGGTGTCCTACTCTATCCCCCTAATCCTCTTCTAAGGGACTAGCCATTTATTTCCTATTTCAAGCTGTTAAAGCTGCCTATTCCCACCTAAATATGAAATTTCACCTTTCTCCATTTCGAATCTCATCCAATTATCCAGATTGCTTCTCCAACTGGCCAAGACCAGTCTGAATTTGAATTCCAACTTGTTGTTACCAGCCTACAGCCATCTGTAGATAGAACAAACATATTCTGCATTCCATCCTCAACTCACAGCTGAAAATACCAAGGAGTACACAGGAGAGACACTTGTACAAAGCAGTTGATGTATCTTTCCTGTTTGACGGTGTTAATTACTTTTGCTATTTTACTGCTACTATTGCTAACTATTCTTCAAGTATGCTTTCCAAATAATGCTGCACTCATCTTACAAACATGGTGTTCATATAGTCTTACTGCTTTGCTTATAAGAAATGTGGTATTTAGACAGGTAAAGATTATTGAGGACCTTGTTAAAGCCAAGATATTTAACACCTATTATTTCTCTCCTATTCCCAGCCTTACTAGCTCAAGCCAGAAGGAAAACAAATTAGTTTGATGTGGGCTGCTCTTAATATATCCATTTTGTCTGTTAGCCATTTCTTTCTGTCTTCCAGATGTTTACATATAACTTATGTGATTATTTGTTTATTATTTGTTCCAGTATTTTTCTTTATTTTTTGGAATTGAAGTTAAATTTACTAACATTAAATTCCCCAGCTCTTTCTTTTTATCTTCTGTGTGCTAAATTTGTCCCTTTTCAATTTCTTATACTTTGAGCAAACATCTCCAGGCTATCAGAGAACCAAGATGCCTGCTGAAAGGTTCAACCAGTTCTCTAAATAAGCTGGAGTCCATCTTATGTAGGCTTAAGATTCATATTTCTTTGTTTTTGATAATAATTGCATTAGCCACACAACTCCAGTAAACCTTCCTAGTGAATACTGAAACAAAAAAAAAAAAGCATTATTTGTTTTGGTCTAAGACATCTTACATTACTAGTTTTCTCTCTCAAAGTATTCAAAGTATTGAATAGTCATTCAATCTTTCTCTAATTCATTATAGAATTTATGTGGAAACCTAACGGTCATAAAATGAAATATTCTTTTTTTTTTTTTTTATATATCTTTTAAGTTGGTTATTTAAAAGATTTCTCGTTTGTCTTAATTATAACTTCTGCGACTTGCTGGTTTTTATTTCTGTTCCCACATACTTATGCATTCCCTTATACTAATCCTAGTAATCTCATATAATTTTCATTTCCTGTGTGACTCTTCCACATGCTTGAGGTCAGTGTATATGATTTAGCCAAATGACTTCTTGCTATACTTGCTGTTCTTTCCTTGCTTTTGGATCATTACATTTTAAGTAACTTGTTTTTCATCAGAAAATGCTTTCTTCCTTCAGAGTTTGCTTCCATGAAATGAGATCTTCTAATATCCTGAGCTTGTTGAAGTCTGCTTTCTTGAAATCCACTTTTTCAATTTTGCTATTTCCCCTCCCTTCCTTCAAAAGGATCGTTGGTAGTTTCGTTTGATGTCCACACAGGTTCTCTTCCAGTTTCACATTCTCATCCATATTCTTTGTAACACAAGGTTGCCACAGACTGTATTCTAACCTCCCTTTTTTCTCTACTTTCTGTACCAAAGTGCTATCAAAACAGAATAACAGAATCCCAGAATGGCTGAGGCTGTCAGGGACCTCTGGGTCTAACTGCTCCAAGTCCTGCTCGAGCAGGGATACCCAGGGCAGGCAGCCCAGCACCCCATCCAGGTGGCTTTTGAAGATCTCCAAGGAAGAGACTCAACAAGTTTCCTGGGCAGCCTGTGCCAGTGCTCAGCCACACACACAGGAAAAATGTTCAGGTGGAACCTGAATTTCCAGTTTGCACCCATAGCCACTTGTCCTAGCACCGACATCACTGAAAACAGCATGGCTCCATCTTCATTGCATCACACATCAAGACACTCTAGACTCTCTGTGACCTGGTATACCCTTTTCCAGATGAAGTATTTGTATATTTTTTGGCATGTTTTTTTGTTGGTTTGTTTTGAAGTTGTGATTTTGGGAGAAAACTCTTCCTGATCTCACAATAGATACAGTATCCTCTTTCTGAACAAGCTACCACGTGTACCCGTATACTCAGATTTTATTCATATGAGCCATTCTAACAAGCTATTACTAAAACTACTTGAGTTGGACTTTCGTATTAAGAATTTCTGATTCTTTTCATATATTTGATTTCTATATTTGAAGAGACTTGCTTTATGTGGAAAGACACTTGGGCTTTTGAATGCCTGCTTAACTCACCATCAATTGAAAAATGACCACGTGTTTTCATGGAAATGTATTTGTTCATATTTTTCAATTCAAAAAACCAGAACTTTTTCTGATGTGCTTTCACCACTATGGTTTCTTCTGGAGACTCTGTCTGAGCAGTGTTTTTTGCTGTTATAAACCATGAGATGAAAGAATAGCACCTACAGTTCAAAGTTAGTAGCATTTGCTAGATAGAGTAGATAAATGGGAGGAACATACAAACTTACAACAGTTACTGTCTCTGCTCTACTGGATATTTACAAAGAAGAGCATATACTTTTCATGTGCATTATATAAGTATGGCTATAATTCTAGAGACTTAAACATGACTCTGAATTAACAGGTGAAAGTATAATCTGAGATTAAAACCTTCTTTTCTAGTGATGACAATACTCTGGTAATGTGAACTTTGGCTCTTTGTTACTCTACCCTTTAGTTTTTAGTTCATCAGTTGCAAAATGACTATGATAATAGATACCTACTTGGCTGAAAGAATATTTATAAAGCCATTAAGATCCTCGTATGATAAGCATTATGGAAAGCAAAGGAGTATTATTAACAATGTTCATTCAGAATGGTGCTGGTATCTTGGTGACAACTTTATCCCTAAAATCACTAGAAGACAACTTAACAGCTTACAGAAAATGCTGAAATGAGGCAAATTTTCACTCATCTCTGTAAAGCATCTTGCTGCACTGAGAGCTCCAGCACACATCTGTCATCTGGAGGCCAAGCAGGCCTTCCACAATTCCAGGAAATCAATTCCAAAGGCTGTAGATTGTCAGTTGCTTGTACACTGGAGGCCATCCAGGCAGCAGATTAAATTGTATGAGAAAATTGTAGCAGGCTCTAGACTGCACGTAATGGAGACCTTCAGTGACCCTTCTGAGGACTTGGGAAATATGCATTGAAATTACCAACAGGCCCTTTTGTAACACCAAAACTGCATGCTGAACTTCTCTTGCATATCACACAGGGTCATTCACAACTGAGCTATTTCTGAAGAAGAAAAACAAACCAGAAAACCTGCTTTCTTCTTGTAGAAAATGTGCAGGGATACCAGAGCTGCATTATTTGTAGGACAAAAAAAGTAAAAAAAAAGAAAAAGAAGTTGGTACTTGGGAAAACCTCAGTCTTTAGCAGTGTTTAAAGGGACTACTGTTTCTGAATCTTTCACCCCTGAGAGATTTCAACCAAATACCCAAAATTCTGGCCACAATGAACACTGATGCAGAAGGCTAATTTAGAAATGTAGCTGTTTCAGTTTTGTTGTTTTATTCAGACCCTGTTGATTACCCTGGTTTTTGGTTTCATTGTTTCTAGAGTACCCTTGACATTGCCAGAGTTCAAACTGTTAATGTGACCCTTTCACTGCTGCTCACTTGGGGGTTCAGGCTGTAGAGTGTAACTCTCCTTGTCACGAACAGGAATGCTGCATGCACACAAAGAACCTAATCCCTTTTGAAAATAAAGCTTTGCTACACCAATGAATAATGAGCTACATAAAATTCTGTTTATTACTTCTGATCAGTCTCAGGTTTCACAAACTGGGAGGTTAGTGACACTGAATTCTGCTTTCCAATTCATCAGTACCTAGGTACTCATCTCACCCCTTAATAGTACTACTACTCTTTAGAAAAACTGCATAGCTCAACATGTATCTGAGTTTGTTTGCCTCTTTTAAATATGTTAGAAAATATTTACAGAGCATTTTAAGTAGATGGAATGAGTATACTTCTGGGGAGGGGGAGGCTGTTTTTTGAATAACCCCTCTACTTCTCTGACAGAAAAAAATGTGTTTTTTCATTTGATCATATAGAACCATATCCCCAGCTTCCCACAACTTCAGACCGTTGTATATACCTCCAAAGCAGCTGCTAGGGCATAACATTAAGCACGTTGTGAGCCTTACAGCAAGGCTCTACAACCTCTACACGGCACGTGATCAGAGAGGGAAATGGTGAACAGGGACTGCCCTTTTCTTCTTTGCGTGTTTTTTTTTAACTCTGTCACAGACTTCCTATGTGACCTTGACCAAGTTTTTCAATCTATTTTCTAATTCCCCATGTGCTATTTTAGGTTTAATAATTTCTTATGTCAGAATTGAGTATAAATTAATTGCTAGAGGTTTTTATGCTAAGACTTCTAAGTAATATCCTCTCTCAAAGAAAATTATCTTCCTTCTAAAGCAGCAATTGCTCTAATTGATTATAAAAGAACCTTGTTTACATTTTCAACTTTCTGGTTTATCAGAGCTCTTGTTCTGATATTCATATTATGTACCTTTTGTGTTTGTTTATACAGCAGAAATTTTATTCCACCTATATTTGATACTTTCACACATGTTTTGATCAGCTATAGATTACTATTTTTGGTGATAAGCATTGAAAAAATCAGCCTTCTATGTACTGGGGAGGAAAGATGGAAAGAAAGGTATGGAGCAACAATCCTTGCACACACACAAAAAGAATATCTCTGAGATGAATGAATGAAGGATGGAATGAAAGGCATTGAATACGAAGAGGCAACTTTCAAAGACAGTTTTAGCCACAGGCCTTTTCATGTCAAGAATCTGGTATATCCAAGCTGTAAAAAGCAAAGCAGGAATTTCTAGGATCAGTTTCACCCCTTTGACTCATCCCCTTCCTTTTTGCTCTCACAAGACAAGTCCAGAGTGTGCAACAGGAAACCAAGCAAAAACAATACAAGAAAAACACATTTTAATTTTAGCCACACAGCTGCTTCTGGGTTCTTTAAATACACTCCCCTCTAAGTGCTTCCATACACCAAGCTATCCAAGTGCTCTAGACAGGCTGAGTCTCAACTGCAAGCTCATTCCACAACTAATCTCTGTCTGGCATTGTTACAGCAATCAACCCAAGCTGGTCAAATGCCCGACTGGGGCAAACTGGGTCCTTATCCAAGTGCCCTCTACCAGCCTCTGTTATGAGGCTTTAAGTGACGAACTATAGTCTTCATATTCTTTGGGAAAGACAGATTTTCAGTCAGGGTTTAAAAACAACCTCTTTTCTCTTTATCCTCTCCCCCTGCACATTAATACAGAGAGTAAGCATCCAAAAATATCTTTTGAAGTTGTGCCTGAGAGTGACACCGTGCCCCAGTACGATGTGATGGGTGGCCCGTTCTCCTTGTGCCAGAATGCCTGTAGCCTTGCTGTCTGGAAAACCATCTGGGGAATTTAAGGACTACCAACAGAAAATAAGAAATCTAAAAGCCCAGTCACACACTCAGTTCTTCATCTAGGGCTGTTTTCCCCTTCGGATTTTGAAAGTGAAACATAAGGCACCTCTGAATTTTACTGTATTTTACTGCCATCATGTGGAGAATTTTCTACAAAAATGAAAAGTCATCTACCCTGATTGGATATCATTTTCTCTGCCCTTGGCAAACTGAAAAATCTAATTCAAGCTTACATCTATAAAGAGCTAGCCCTGGAGCCACAAATGCCCAAATGCCTGCCCTGCATCTGCAAAATATTCTACTGTCCTTATATGCTTTGCTTTTGCCCTACTCAAGCAAAATATCTGTTGGCACAGCAGAGCTCGTCAAAAGCGTGACAGCCCGGCTATGCTTGCCATTTCATGTATTCCATTGCAGGTTTCTCTCTGTGGTCTGCAGGAACATACAAGCATTTAGTATCAGTGTTATTTTATTCCACGAAGCAATGAAACAAATGGAAACATTATTACAGAAGGGTATCTCAAAATCACATAAAATATCTTAGAATCAGAAATTTGTATTTTTCAGGCATTACTACTCCCACCCCACAAGCCTCCATTATCTCAGATCACTGCAACACGTGAGGAATTTGATAACAACGTTACAACAGTTCCAGAAGGCAGTCATTTTACAGGGCCATGTTCATTCTAATTTAAGAAGAAGAGCGTTTCCACCTTTCAGGAAATTCCAAGACTTCAAAAGTTTTGACCAAAACCAGTAACTATATTTCAATTCAAAACAGCAAAACAGAACATCACCAGGTTTGGTTTGGATTTTATTTCTTTTTAGTTTTGTATTGTAGTGATTAACATTGCACCTACTGCTGTAAAAATCAAAATAAAGTATTTAGGTAATTTTTCAGTGATGTCACAGCAATGCTGACACATCTGCCGTAAAGGCTTTACTTTTGTTAAATCAATACAGTCTGTAAGGCAAATGCTGCCAGAAAAGCATCTAGGAGCTGTTTCTTTTCCCAAAGACACGCAAATAAATGGCCTCATTTTTTAAAGTGGACAGCCCCCTACGGCACCTCCTGAATTCAGCACAACAGCAGAAATCAGCCCTGCACACAGTTTAGAAATTTAATTGCTATCTCCTGCCCATTCTGCTCGCACTTGAAATCAGAACTGTTTCTTAGTTTCCTTCTCCCTAAATGGAGGCTGGCAAAGATACTCATTAGGATCAATTAGGTTCATAAATGATTCCAAACTAAAAGGATGTTCCAGTTGATACAGACCTCCATGAGGTACAAGACCTCTTCAGATGAGCTGCTAAACTTGATAACTATTGAAAGTTGGCCTGAAGATCTGTGAAGTACTGCAATCAAGTCACTACCTTCTTCTAGTCTCATAAAAATTCATTCAGATTTGGATATACTATTGATATGGCACAGGAAAAACCAGCACTCAGGAGCTTTAGCTTGATCTGCTCCCAGATTTGCCTTCCGTAGTCTTGGACACAAACAGTTCAATGTTTTGCTATGGCATTCTGTGTAGTACAGACATTTAAGCTAAGGGTAAAAAGGATCCCCTACCACAAGGGAATATATTCTACCTCAGGAATCAGGAGCCAGCTCTACATTTGTCTTTTAAATGGTTATAGTAAATTCACACACTTCACAAGTAAAATCCCAATCACTACACTACTAAACAAACCCATGCATAACAACTGCATTCAGCCACCCAAAATAATAGCCATGCAGGGAGCTGAGTCACAAAAGGCACAAAAACTGAGCTTCTTGGGAAGCACATGTCCAATCTATATCCTTGGTTCATCTACCTGCACTATGAGGCACAACATATGACTACATCACATGATTGCATCACACAATCTCACTGCTGACTAGACAAAGCTGTAGAGCATCTAATCCTTCTACGTGCAAAAAATATTCCCTTAATCTGCTGTGGCAAACACCATTATATACTGAATGGTCACATTCAAAATTCTCACTGAGAGAATGAGGAGTATTTGTTATCCTTGCACATAAAGTAATGAGTTCTTGCCTTTTCATTTGCTTTTAAAAAGGACAGGAAGTAATAGGCCAAAATCCTTATCAAAATAATATTCTCAAATATAGTTACGTGGAATTTATAGATTTGATGTAGCATCAATTCTGCTGCATTATGCATTAACATTACCAGATTATCTTTAATTTCCCAGTGACATCTTAGGCTTTTTTCCACCAAATAATGTGCCATTCAGTGGACAGGGTAAAAAATATTGGGAATAAATCAAAGCGAAATAGAGAATTAGGCTGTTGTAATTGTTGTCCTTGCTGTATAAATAACACTTTAAAGTAAGATTTACAAATATTTACTGTTATTCTATGTAAATTAAATAAAGCTCTTTTCATTCTGGGGAAAAAAAAAAAAAAAAAAAAAAAAAAGGTCCACACTCCTTAATCGGACCAAGTTTGACCTTTCCTGCCTACTGTAATCCAAAGAGACCCACGACCCCCAGTGGTTGTTAGATATAATGCAGGAATGCAGAAAGCCATTAAGAATGTGAAGATGCTTAGCACCATTCTCGGGTTCACAAAATTAAGATGTGGCTAAAAAAATGAAGACATTGAACTATCTACAATCCAAGTTAAAGAGTCAGTAAAGATGACCTTAACAGGATCTACATCTGTGACACGCACACCAAGACAACCCAACCCAAAGCAACCATCGCCACCCAAAACACAAACTCCAATCATTTTGACCTCTAGGCAAATATAACAGCCATCCTCCCATGGAGTAAGAAGCACCTCTTTTATGGCAACTGTGTAAATCCCATATGTTCTTTCCTTGAAAAAGAACAGTATAATGAGGAAATCTCACAAAATGCAATGTATATCACACAACAGCTTTGCAGCCTTCCATGCATGCACTGAAAACAGAAAGAATCTGCTGAAGGCTATAAGAGAGCATGCTGCCTTCCAAACTACTTTGAACTGCTGAAATGCCATCCCAGCTAAAACCAGTCCCTGGAGCTGTTCTTTTATATAGCCTCCCAAAGGTGAAAGCTAATAGTACCTTTTGCTTTGCTATCCTCCAATATAAAGACAGTACAGTGGAGAGTAAAGATCATCAAAGGTGCGTGTTTTATACATGGTGTGCATAGCTCTGCTATAACCTTTATGGAGCTTTCTCTTAATTTGGAGACATTTCTGTTAGTGATATAGTTGCAGATGGACACCCGAAGCTGGAAGATAAGTATTTTGAAATGAAAGCATTGTTGCATAAAGTTGAAATGTAGAAAGAAAACAAACAAGTGCTAAATACCTTCTCTTGAGAAAAATCTTGTTAAATGAACTGCTGGATTAAATTCTATGATCTATCAAAACTTTAGGTCATAGTAATGGACCACAACATATCTCTTTTATGCTTTAAGAAGTATTAAATAAGTTAAGCCCATACATGGAATGTCTTTTTAAACAAATCAGAAGGTTTAATAATGCTCTAATGTCTAACAACACACATAACACAAACACAAGAGGAAATATTTGGTGTCAATCTTCTGAAACGTGGAGCAACTACTTCATATCTGTATCCATTCTTTGGTTAAGACTGACAAAAACTTACATCCAGCATTTCAACAATATTCTTCAATTAATCTATTAAAATTACAGAAACTAATAACAAAAACAACCAAGATATCAGTATCAAATACTGGTTAGCTTTGGTTCAATAAAGTGGCATGTATGAAGCCATTATTTGCAAGCTAATTCAATGCAACGCCTATTAAAATGTATTTTGCCAGTGACAGCAAAATAAATTGGCGAGTGTATAAAGAAAAAAGATTGAGTATTTGTTGCTTTCAAACAAACACCTCCTGCCTCTCCTGTTCAGACAACGTATTACAAAACTATGCTCTTCCTCTGATCTGACTATGTTTTACTTTCAGAGTTTGCTAACCATTTCTTCCTACTGTGTTAGGACAAACGATTATTTCTTCCGTAAGCATATATGAAGTCCACATACCATCGCCTATAACTGTTCAGCAACCACACAGGACCTATTAGCTGCTTCACTGGATACATATTTGCTTGAGTCATCAAAGACTAATTCTACATCTTTTCCTGGAAAAAGAGATTAAAATTAAAATGCTGAAACACCTAAACTAAGCAAACATGCAGTCATACTTTACCCATACTCTTTCCACTCTTTTCCTGTCGCATGACCAAACTAAACAAGGAAGTGAATGAAAAGCTAACACTCATTTGCCAAAATGTTCACCTTTAGAATAAACAAACAAACCACAGTGCAGCATAATGAAAAAGGAAAACATCCTGTTGTCACTGACAGTAATCACTGAAAGCACACAGCAAATGAGACTTTGGATCAACGAAAGATCAAGAGGGAAGAAAGGGAAAATGATATAAATTATTAAAAACACACAAATTAAAGCATAAGGTTATAGAATACAAGGAATTCAGGTGATAACGCTCAATTTATATCTAAGGTATAATTCAACTGAATGCAGGGAGAATTCAAGTGATGAGATATAACTAATTTAAGACAGAGGTTTACCTTGACTATTCAATAAGACTTCTCTATGAACAGGAAAGTTCAGTTCTCCTACCTGTTGTTTCTCGGATGAATGTCTGGTGTCAGACAGTACAAACGTTCTGAATCAGCTGAAGTGAAGGGCAGCTTTTTTTCCCAAATACAGGTCTGTTGCTCTCTGATGAGTTGTTTTCAAAGAGAACCCATGGGCCCTCTATACTCTGAAAAATCTGGTCTCTGTGGAGATCGGTGAGGGTTGTTTCTGGGAATATGGCAATCAACACCATGCCTAAGCAAATATCATGATGTAACAGCATTCTTAGCATGCTTTTCCTCAGAATCCAAAACTCCAAAATGGTAAGGGATCCAAATCCACAGCCTAGATATCACACATCTCACAGTACTGTTTAGATGTACTCGGAGACAGATCTGGTATTTAAATACTCAAAAATGCGTTCTAGCAGTCCGTGTAACTACTGTTCTTTCACAGCACTTTGAATTGGTAGGAATGAAATCCCATTCTGTGTAAGATTTTCAAAATGACAATGTCATTTCACACAGCCCCAGACATTTTGATTTGCTCTGTACATGACAGGTTATTTGCAAAAGAGGGCTGAGGCTAAAGATTCCTTTCTTTTCCATTCGGGAACTTATTAGATCACATAGATCTTTTTAATAAGTGTGTTTCAGGTTCTTTAACCAAGACCACCATTACAATGGAAGCATTTCTTTTATGTACTACTATTCAGGGAAATCACTGTTGTTGCTCAGCCCTTCCACACATCCTTTTTGTTTTCTCTCATGAAACTGCTTTTCGTCTCCAAATGCAAAATATCCTGATAGACTTCTGGGTGCTGGCAGCGTTTAGAGAAATAAAACATCTATTCTTGCTGTAGTCACTGATGTAGAAGATCCACCTCCTCCTCCTCGTTTGCCCTCAGCTTTCTGCAGTTCACGGAAAGCAAATCCACACACACATTCCTTCCACTATTTCATATTTACCAACCAAGGATTAGAGTATCCTTTACTCCTCATCTGCTTGCGACAGCTCTTTCATCTGCTGTGTTTTCCCTGAGACTCCAGTTCCGAACCTTTCCTCTATGCTATGTGGCTGTGCATACGCTGCATCTCTTCCTCACAGCACAACAGGCACTAAAAAGCCTACGCTGCCGTTGGTTAGATGAATTATACTGCTCAGCTCAGCACTTGGGACCTTTAGCAGCACCCCGGATTCCCGGCTCTGATCTCCTGCCCGATCCTCTCAGGCGTCCAGGCCGGGCAGCTTCACCCACTCGCATACTTGCTGCGTGTAGCAAAAACCACTCATGCTTTTTGTGTGAAGACTCTCTTTTCCGACACTTCTCTGACAGCAGCGGGGCGGACGGACCTCCCGAGCGCTTTTTCAGGCGACACCTCGGCGTGCCCTTTTCCCTGGCGAGCCCCACGAGTACTCACAACCGCCGTGCATCTACAGCCGCTTACTCCCCCACACCCGACCCCACCCGTGCTTGAGGGCCCGCGAACACGGCTCACACCGAGGTTATTCCCGCCTCAACGCCCGAGGAGGCGCCACAAGGCACCACAAGGCGCCACGAGGCACCCCTCCGCCCTTCCCGCCCTAACGGCCACGCACGCGCACCGCCCCCGCCCCCCCGACAGAGGGCGCAAGCAGGCGGCCGTGCGCATGAGCGCTGAGGGAAGCGGCCGGGTCACTTTCCCTTTCCGGGGCGGGCCGTGTAGCCGGCGAGGGAGCTTCGCGCTCCGTGGTGGCGGCGCCGCGCACGCGCGGAGCGGGTGGCGCCGAGGCGGCCGGCGGCCAGGTGAGGGGTGTCGCGGCCCGGCGCGCGGTACCGCCGAGGGCGCGGTGTGGCCGCAGTGCTCGGGGCGGCCCGATCTCGGCTAGGACCGGCCCCGCCTCGCCGCGGGGAGGGGCTGCGCCGCGCCTCTCGTCCCGCCGAGCTCCGGGTCGGCCCGGCCCGGCCCTGCCCGCGGGAGAGGCGGGCGGCAGGGAGGGCACGGCGGTGAGGAGGAGCCCGGGAGCGGGGCTGGGGGCCCGGCGCCCGCCGTGCCGAGCGTCGCTTGCGGGTGGGCGCCTCTCAGTCGTGTCCGTGAGGGAAGATGGGCCAGCGGCTCTCAAAGCTTCCCTTGGTGGCACCCGGCCTGGAGCTGCGTCCTGCGGGGACGCCGGTTGGATGGCGGGGTGAGGTGCCGTCCCGCGGAGCGGTCGGGCGTGGGGCGGGCTGCGTGCGGGTCACGGCGCCAGGGCCCGGAGCGGAGTGCTGGGATGGCGATCGCAGCCGTAGGGTTTGAATTTTGGATGGTGCTGTGTGGAGCTGGGCTCTGTGAGCCTCGTGAGCCCGTTCCCACGGGGTGCCTGGCTGACGGAAGGGGCGGGTGCTTGTATTTCACGTATTTCTAGCTCTTCTTCGCACTAGCATCCATACGCAGTGCTTTCTTAACTAACGTCTGCTTCGGAGAAGGATAAGTAACAGAAGCTGGGATCCAGCTCCTTCATTTAAGACTTGTCCGTGCTGCGAACAGGCAGCCGTGCTGTTCTGGTAGTGACAGCAAAGCGGGGTTAAAATTCATACAGATTAATCCAGTTAAAATATCATACTGATAACCAGTTTAAAATGCCAGTAATTACTGGATTTCCTGATTGTGATTCCTTGATAAGACCTATCAGGTGATTCTATGAATGGGACACAGGGCAGGGATAGCACCGAGGTTGCTTTTCCATAGTTCTGACAGCTCCATATCTGTTAGCAGGTCAGCAGGAGTGACTAGGACAGAAGTAAAAATGAGGCAAAAGGCTAGTGACTAAGTTTTCTTCTGTTGAACATTCTTCTACCTTTACAGGCAGCCACTCTAGCATCTCAGCACTGTTATCTGACGTACAGTATTCATTAATGGAGGTGCTAAGGCTTAAGAATTTGAAGCACAATTCTAACCATCAAGCGTAAGGACCTTAAGAAGAAACTTACTTTTGGGGGTAGATTATTTCAGAATATGTATGTTGCAGTGTTAGTTGAGGTAGATGTCACTAGTTAGTGTTGTTAATGGGCTCCTGCTCTGTCTGTTGTGTGAAGTTCAAAGTTTCTGTAATTTTAATTTAAATATACAGCTGTAACATGAGATGCAGCTTGAAAGGGTTGCTTTATAGGCAATCTTTATGAATAGTATTGGTCAATTTCTGTGTTTCATCCTGTCAGCTTTCTGTTAGCCAAAGTCTCTGCTACCTTTTATAAAAGGAGAAACTGTTTTTTGATCTACAAAAGCCTGCCTACCCTTAGGAAGCATAGGAAGGTTGTTATGAGTACATGTCACGGGAGGCCATCATGTAACTACATTTCTCTGATATGTCACTTCTAGTTTCAGCCTTTCAGAATATTCATTCAGAAAGGGTATGGGGAGGCATTTCTAAGGCCACATCTCCACTAGGAGTGACTTGCAGGTATAGTATGTGTTGTGCCTTTGTGTTGTCTAATCACAAGACTTGCTTCACTCAGAGAGTGAAACAACTGTTCTAACAAAGCCACAGCTTTGCAGATTCAGCTGTTTGTTGTGTGGGCTTCACCCAGCATGGCTGACTTATTTGCAATCCAGCTCCTAGAATAGCTGTTTGGAAGAGAGATGTAACATGGGCAACTTTAATTCTTGGGAAAAAATTGTTTATGAATAGCTTTTAGCTTGTTTTGCCTTTGTAGTTAGAGAAGTGGCTCTAATATGTTAGTTGTCTATTTACATTTCATTCTTTGAGTCATTTGAGCTACCCCTGAAAGTCTCTGATTAATTTACTGGCAGTGTAGAAAGAGATAAGTGACTATTCTACTTCACTCAGAGGAGCCTTGATTTAATTGCAGATAACGACTGTACACTATATATCTGCTATTTTATCTTGGTTAACCATGGTGCTGAACTTCAGGGCCATCCAGTAGAGCTGAGCATTGCATTTTTGCCAGTTCAAGAAATTACATTCATCTACAGGGACATGATTTGGTGGGCATGGTGCTGATGGGAGGATGGTTGGACTTGATGGGGACTAGATGGTCTTAGTGGTCTTTTCCAACCTTAATGATTCTATGATTCTATTTACTAACATTTGTGGGTACAGAAATTGTGAGTTATTGCCTCATCTGTCAGAATTCTTAGCAAAGTTTGAAATATGTACTGTGCTCCCAAAATGAACCTACCATGCACCAGTGATTTTACCTATGGAACGATTCTACTTCAGGTAATACAGTAAGATTGGCAGACCTGTGCTCTGTACTTGACTTGCCAAGCTACTGAAGGAAAGAGCTGAACAAGATATGGTCATCTGCCCCTTCCGCCAACCCCATGTCTGTAGTACTTCTGAATCCTCTTAGATTTATTCACTGGCAGTGTTCACAGCAATAGTGTGTTTTAAAAGAGCAGTCACATTCAACAAGAACAACAAAAAACTGTACTGTATTAATTAATTAATTTCTTTATTTCTACGCCTTAGATTTTTCAACATGTTTTAAGCTACTCTAAAGGACCCAACAGCCACATCTACTGTGGTACCATTCCCTTGTAGTTGGTACAAGGAACTGAAAGATCAGACTGTGGGAACTTCCTTGAAACTTAAGAAATTAGCCTGAGGCGGGTGGAAGGCTTGAGTCCCAAAAGTTCTACAAAGTAATGTGATGCAAAGAATTGTGGCCTGTTTTCTGTTCTCTAATGTGTTATTAAATATGAATAGTTCAGAGTGTTTTGCAGGGAATAAGCTGTGGTTTTACTGACAAGTCTTTGCTAACCTAAATCTGTGATAAACAGCAAATGTGAAGCTGGAAATTTAATAGAATTCTACAGATTGCTTAACAGATGCCTCAAAACTTTGATAAGATTTCTGCAAGGATGTGCATAGCCACTTTTGACTTATACTGTTGGATCTTTTGTTAGATTCAGAGGAGTCTCTGTTTTGTTTTTTAACGGTTTTTATAGTTCCTCAATGGAAGAGGTGTTGAAGACAGCCACCAGCACTGTGGAAGCATGGAGACAAAATAGTGATGTATTGACACCCTCAAGAAAATATTGGGCAAACTGATGGAAATGAAGAGCTTGAACCATCACTTCAGCATGGCAGCAACTGAATCTGACAAGGACTCCGGATACTCAGGTTTAGAAAGGCTGTGCTATTTGGTTTTTTTTCTTCCTGTTTTCAGACTGCTGGTGATGTTGGATGAAGCTGACTCCAACTCTTTGCAGTTTGTGTCTGATTACATGGTAGGGTCTTTATATCTAAGGCAGGTTAAAAAATAATCCTACTATCAGTATTTTTGGAGTGGAGCATTGCGTAGCTCATCCTGTGAATTTCAGTGGCATGGGAATATACAAATGTGCCTAACAAAGAACTGAATGGAGGAATGCTTTATTCTTCAGAGTCTAGAAGTGGGAATGGAAGGATTAACTTTTGTTCTTTGCAGTGATCAATGAACTATTGGATTATGTCATGTAATGTCTTGCAGTTTGACTGGATTGTCATTAGAGCCTGATAAAACAGTCATTTTTGTAACATTAGCAAAATGTAGACAGTATGTTCTGTTTTAATAATCAACAAAACCATACAAAGATTCCCTTTAAAAGTTAAAACTGTTTTTGTGGGAGGTACTGTGCACACTGGGTTTGTAGATAGCAGATTTAAAAATGCAAAAAACTGCAGCACGGACCTGAATCTGCTAGCTCTTTTGTGTAAAAGTCTTCAGAGCTGACTTTGTGGTAGCATGTCATCCCTTGGAGACTAAATACAGATGAACAAAAATAAATAGATTTTCGTGGAGACAGTATCTGCATCAGAACTATCGTGAAATACGGAGTCTTTTAATAAATAAAGGTCATTTAACAGCTGTCACAAAAAATCTAATTTTATTGGTATTGCAGAATTGAACTTTATTATTCACTATGGCTTGATTGAAAGGGAACAGAATAGTAGAACAGAAAGGAAGCAGTAAGCATGCTACATGTGAAACTACTAACAGCTGAATTCTACATTTGGCAGATGGCAGTTCAGAGTGCCTAAGTGCTATGGAGCATACTGACTCTGAGGATGTCCTGAATGCATTGTGTTGGAATGCAGAGGATGGGCCTTGGCCTTGCCCTGTGACCACGAGCAGCTCCTTTCCTGCACTTTCTCCTATGGTTGTAATGAAAAATGTTCTAGTAAAGCAGGTAAGGAAAAAATAATATATCGGAAAATTCTGCAAAAAAATGTTTAAACTATTTTCCTTTCACAAAGGATTGTATGAAGTTGTTGCAGTTCAGCAAGTAAGCAGTAATTTGTAAAGTTTTGTTAGTAACAACCTCTCTTTTGGAGGAGCAGCTAAAACTGCGAAGGGGGAAAAAGATGAAATACAGAAGCTGCATTGCATCTACTCTTTGTCTCAAAGGGATCTGCAAAAAATAGATCTTTATAATGTTATTCAAATGGCACCAAAGGTCAAACCAAAATAAGTAATTTTCCATTCAAAAGCTGATGATTTCTTTTTTGTTCAGTTTAGACAAAGGATGATTGCTTTCACTTTCCACTTCTTAGATTCTAGAAGTGCTTTATATGCAATATGAAGCCTTCATCTAGAAAATTATAAATGAACAAATTAAATCTGTATCTAAAATTAGTTTCAGTATATTTATTTGAACAGCTTTTTTCTTAATTACATAGCATGTCTCAAGTCGCAACAATTGCATTCCGTGTTTGTATCTTCCAATATCATATTATGTGTTATTCCTCTAGCACCTCTGTGTGACATTGAAAAGGTCTCTATTGTGACAGAAGGTGCAAAAGCTAGAAGTGTGAAGTATTGCTATACTATTAGGCTTCTTGCTTCTACTCATGTTTTTAAAGAAGGCAAAAGTACTTCAGCCTTTTTTATTATTAGAATATGTATGAGAATACAGTGAGAGTGAAGAAAAAAGAATATAGATCTTCATTCTTTTCTACAGAATCTGTTTTGAGAAGGAGCAAAATCTGTTAAATACTGTGTGTCAGAGCCAGCATAGAGGTGGGTTCTTTCTAATATTTCAAGGAATCACTAAGGTTGGAAAAGACCTCCAAAATCATCTGGTCCAACTGTCCATCCATCACCACCATGCCCACTAAAGTGTGTCTCTGAGTGCCACATCTACATGTTTCTGAAACACCTCTGGGGACAGAGACTCCGACAATTCCTTGGGTAACCAGTAATTTTACAGGTCATGCATTTGTAGGGGCGCATGATCTGAGCATTGTGTTTTATCTTGACAAGAAGCTTTTTTTTTTTTATAGCCATGTTCTTAGATGTGTGGACAGAACACACATGACTTAAAACACAAATGCCCGGGTTCTCTTGTAATAGGGAAAAGATAGCTGTTGGTCTGGGTTTCAAAAATTGAGCATGTTGATTTTGTTACAAATAGGTAGGAGAAGTAGCCATATAGTACACATAACTTGAATGTTGATAGTGTAGCAAAAGGAAAAAAAAGATGGGGAGGAAGATGTAGATAAAATTACCAGACTCAGTTAATTGGAGCAGTTCATAACATTTAAATCTAATTATTTATGGATAAGGACAGTCATTTTAAATTGAAAATGTTCATTTCAGTGAGTAAAAACAGCAAGACAAGGTCAGAATGATGGATTGTCTTTCTAGCTCTTTCCACAGAGTCTTGTTACCTCAGGTAGTCATGCTGGTCATCTTATTAATGTGCTCTTTTCAACACAATTCTCAGTTAGGCTCCCTGGACCAAAATAATAATAATGCAGTATCCCCAGTTACCACGGTTTATCTGTTTCAGTCTCAGTCAGCATCACTTTCTGTCTTAGAACCACTGTGTTTCTGCTTAGTGATGTTTGTCTGCTGTCCTTATTTCAGAGTGCAAACTGCTAACTATGTTACTAAAAAAAATAAAGCAGGAATTAATTCTCTGGAATACAGTAGTGCTGAGGTAAAGTTTGTAGGAGATCGTAATAGGTGAGAAGGCTTTTTAGGTGAGTAACACTGGTATCTGAAGAATGTTATGTTTCGTTAAAAAATTGACTGCAGAATTTGTAAAATTAAATGTCTCCTTCTCTACTAAAAATGAGATTTTTGGGTATGAGAATAAGAGCAGAACACAATGAGAGTGGAAAGGACAAGAAAGTGTATAGTGGAGATGGGAGTAGGGGATAAAAACAAGAGCATGATAGACTATTATCACAGCTCTTTAGGCCTCAATGAATTTGGGGCTCCAGTATGCTGAGTACTGCACAAATTACAATTTCTGACTCCAAAGCCTTGCTCTTAAGGTTTCGTGTTGTGTCTAATGTTTATATAGCCATGGTATGTATATACCTCCCCACTCTTAATTTGTCTGAGTACCTTTCTTTTGAATGTGTTCTTTTGTCTGTGAAATAAGGAACTAATGTTAACTACTACAGGGCTTCTTGCCCACTGAACTCAGTGTCAGAGTTGGTAATTGAATCTCATAGCCAAGTCTCAATATCTGAATCAGTGGATATGTCCACCTTTGTCAAGTTAAGTCCTCTGCTGACAGGAGTGGACTTCAGCAACACATGTTAGCATTTGCCAGTTTAAATGTTCTGAGGCTGGAGAAAAGAGGTTGGATTTCAGATGAGTCAGAACAGTACAAAAAAGAATGAAATATTGTAGTGCTTCTAAAACTAGTGCCCTCAGCAGGCCTGCAGTAACATTCCAAGTAGTGGACTATAGAAATTGGAGAAACAGCAGAGTATATTGTATTAGAAGAAGTGAAGGTTGTTTGGTTGTTGTTTTTTTTTTTTTCCTGAAAGAAATACTATTTTTTACCAGAGCACTTGATATGTCAAGAGAAAGCAGATGTGCTTTCTGGACAGGAGATCTCGTGAAGTTCCCTAGTAGTGTATTTGTGAAAGAAAAGGTAATGTCTTGTAAAAATTGATGTATTACCCTACCTATATTGCAGAATATGATTTGTGGAAGGACATAAAAACTTGAACACTTTTCTTGGCATATAATGCTTTTAAGGCATTGCGCAGGATTTCACCAAAGAGGTGGAATTAAACTGTTTGAGGCTTAGAACAGGCAGTTTTCCTTGAAATGATTGATAGTCGGTATTTTTTCTTCTTTTTCAACTTCATGGTTTTGAATTTATTGCAACCGTTTATTGTATTTATGATTGCAAGACTTACTGAGCAGCTACGTTAAGTGATGTCTGTGTAAATAACCATTTCAAAAGCTTGCTGTGAGAATAGAAATGACAGAATTGGAGTTGCTGCATTTCAACAAAGAGGGAGTCTGAATTGCTCCTGAAATATCTGTGCTGTCTTCGACTCTTCTGGAATATTTCATAACCAGAATTTTTCAAGTTTATTTTTCGAATTTTCTGTGTACTTCTTGTTTAGCCTCAAGTGCAGTAATAATTTTACACTAGCATTGTGTGATACATGCATGCACTGTAATTCTTATTAGGGAGAGTGTGTATAAATTGAACTGTTTTTAAATATATTCTCTATGTATGATTTTCAGCTTTGATTCTAGTGTTAACGTTCTGTTGTCAGAGAAGAGAAGAACAAATTTGATAATAAGCTGCTCACAATATGTTATATTGTGTAGCATGTATCAGTTACGAAGAAATGGCATAATTCACCTGTTTTGCTTAAGGTTTTTTAATCCTTATCAATAGCACTGCTGTAAGAATTGTTTTTCCCCATTTATGCTTCTCAGGGGAGTTCATCCCAGCTCCAGTCTTGGACTGTCCAGCCATCCTTTGAAGTGATTCCAGCTCAGCCACAGCTGGTATTTCTTCACCCATCAATCCCACCTCCCATTAACCCTCACCCTGTTGGGAAAAAGAGAAATGATCCCACTAATAACTACCTGCCCATCCTGAACTCTTATCCCAAAATAGCACCACAGCCCTGCAAAAGAGATCACTCCTTCGATCTAGAGGAACGTCAGGAAACCAATTGCCATAAACGACTCTGCACAGAAGCATCTAAAATGGAGACTTCTCCTGTATCAAGGAGCACAGGTTTGTCTACTAATCCTTTTGCCCATTTACCAGTTAGCTTTAAGGCTCCTCAGGATTCTAACCAGCAAAGTTCTTCAAGTTTGATGACAACTGGAAAAGTGTCAACTCTTCCTGGTTTCCATCGTGTTTCTGCTGACACTCCAAAAGTTCCAGGTTTGGCTTCTCTCTTGCCTTTTGGAACTCTACAGACAACAAAGTGCACTCCTCATGAGAATGAGAGTGCATCACAAACTACAATGCAGTCTGCGGTATGGAGCCTGCCACTGATATCAGAAGAGACTTGCACTACCCCTGAGCTGCTTTTGCAACAGCAAAGTAAGTGCAGACGCTTTCAGAACACACTCGTTGTGCTACGCAGGTCAGGATTGCTAGAGATCACTTTAAAAACCAAGGAGCTCATTCATCAGAACCAGGTGACTCAAGCTGAGCTGGACAGGCTGAAGCACCAAACACAGCTTTTCATAGAGGCAATAAAGAACAATGCTCCACAGTCATGGGCAGAGTTAGAAGCATCTCTAACAGGTTCAGATAAAGCTAATAGCAACCTTGAAGACTCCACTTATCCAAACATGTAGTAAAATGGTACATAGATGTTGAGTTATTCCTGTGCCTCCTGTTTCCTGTCTCAAGCTTTTACTTGAACGTTCTGAGTCCAAGATGTGCAAGGTGGCATGCCATTTACAACTTGTCTTTACAGCCAGCTGTGGGTCTGGGACTGGAACAGCACAGTGGGATCTTGACAAGATGAGTACTCGCTACTCTAGTATGACCTTGAACTCCATGCTAACTCTATACTTTCTTGGACTTTGGAAGCTTGGATGTGCTCTGCTGGCATGCTCCCATTCTTGCTGTGAGAAGACAGTCATTTGCAGAATTCTACAAGCAAGTCTCTTCCTATTCCCATCTTCAGATTGTCAGTTCTGAGAGTGGCACAGCAAAACAGTCCCCAGTATTGGGCTATCACCAGTTGCAAGTAGATGAAGGGAGTTGGTATGAGGAGAAGTTTCGTTTAGTGGGGTGGTATCAGACTGTTGCTGACTGTTGATGGAGAGTCTTGCTTTTGGGGTTACAATTGTTTTGAATTAGTGAAGATCTGCTTGTGGTGAAGCAACATTCTCTATTTATTGCAATCTTTGACCAAAGTGAGAAGAGTCTTAGGAGCCTGGTGACTTGATTTTGTTGAGTATAAGTTGGATTTTGATTGTAAAGATGAATGAATGAGAATTGCAAGGCTTGCACTGGAAGTGTTTATTTCAAAGCTGTATTTATTTGCACTACCCATTACTGACTAAAAAGTGTACGGGGCAAGTGGCTTTGGATTTTCTTGGTAGAATGCAGAGGCGTTTTTAAACATGGTGCAAGGAAGATGCTTGTTCACCAGGGTTAATTTGGCAAGACTAGTTAATTGTTGTTTTATCCGTATATCTTTCGTTTATAAGGCTAAACTGCTTTTTTTTTTTTCTTTTGCTGTGAAATTGTTCTGATCTTGTTCAGCATCTTCATCAATGACCTTGATGAGGGGATAGTGTCCATGCTCAGCAAGTTTGCTGATGATAGCAACTTGCTGGGATGAAGCTGGGAGGAAGCACACCAGAAGGCTGTGCTGCCATTCAGCGAAACTTGGGCAGGCTGAAGAGTTGGGCAGAGAGGAACCGGATTAGGTTTAACAAGAACAAGTGTAGAGCCTTGCACCTAGGGAGGAATAACCACATGCACCAGTACAGGCTGGGGACCTGCTGGAGAGGAGCTCTGCAGAAAGGGACCTGGGACTCTGCAGTGTGCCCTAGTGGCCAAGAATGCTAATGGTATCCTTGGATGCCTTAAAAGGATTGTGGCCAGCAGGTCAAGGGAGGTGATCTTCCCCCTTTACTCTGCCCTAGTGAGGCCTCATCTGAAGTACTGTATCCAGTTCTGGGCACCCCAGTACAGAAAAGACTGTTGAAAAGAGTCCAGCAAAGGGCCACTAAAATGACAGAGTGCCTGAAGCACCTCTCTTATGAGGAAAGGCTAAGAGACCTATGTCTGTTCAGACTTGAAAAAAGAAGGCTGAGAGGGGATTTGATCAATGTCCATAAATATCTAAGGTGCAGGAGGCAAAGGGACAAGGCCAGACTCTTTGCAGCAGTGATGACAGGAAAAGGGGGAATGGCCACAAGCTGAAGCTTAGGAAGTTACACACAAATGTGCATAAAAACTTCTTCATGGTAAGGGTGAAGTGATGGAGCACCGGAACGGGCTGCTTAGAGAGACTGAAGCCGCCTTCTCTGGAAACATTTAAGACCTGCCTGGATGCCTACCTGTGGAACCTGGTCTAGGGAGCTTGCTTCGGCAGGAGGGTTGGTCTAGATGATCTCTAGAGGTCCCTTCTAGCCCCTACAATTCTTTGAATCTATGAAATCAACTGCTAAGAATGAAAAAAAGGAGAGAAGTGAGAGTAGAAGGGGCATAATGGTCCATGGTAAAACAAGTCCTCCCATCTCCCTTCCCTCCTTTTTTTTGTTATTGAGAGAAATTGAGTGAATATGTGTATTTAAAAATAACTAAGTAAAAAGATGTCAACTTGGAAAATCTTGCTAGAAGTTTTATCTGCTTGAGTTTGGAGTTAAACAAAACCATTTTCGTCCATGTAAATGTATCTCATCCCTAGCCCTCTTGACATTAAATGTACTTAAGGCCTAACGTCTCATGCAGTGTTATTAGCAGACATCTGCAGTTGTCAGTTGCAAAAGCTATTCTACAGACGTCAGTTTATCTAGACACTTGTCAGTCCCTTCAATAAAAAGGGTCTGTTTGTTTGCTTTTTACCAGAGACAGGCTGTGTAAAAGAACTAAGAATGTCTCTACCTATGAAGGTTAAGAAATCTGGATTGCTTATAGTGTGTTCATTTCCACTTGAAAATGCTTTCCAAAAATTGTGCCATATAGATTACTGGGTATTTTGATGCTCTGATCATTTCATTTCATATTCTTAAAAGAGGTAGTTGAAATTATAGTAGAACTCCTGCTAGTTTGTGGTTAGACCCCTTCATTTTCTGATGCCTTTGGGAATTAAGATTAGAGAAGTCTGTGGAGAATGCTGTTGTAAACTTCCTAAAATACACTCAGTAGAAAAGATGCAAGGTATTTCCCTCTAATTTGGGGTTTCCCCCTTTTTAGGCAAAAACGATGTAAAGAAATGCTGTAGATGTCTCATGTGGAGGAGAAATGGGAGTCACGTTTTCCCTAGCCAGAGGCCTAGAGATAAATTTTGTGGCAGGATTCCCCATAAAGCCCTTTATGAGCTGTAACAAACTAATAGCAGTGTGTTTCGTTGTTCATCCTGTTCTCCTGTTGAACTGCTGTGCTGCTACTCCTGTAGCACGGTACATGGGAATATATTAAGATACAAATTTTTGAAGACTGTGTTGTGTTTTCACTATAATTATGCGTAATAGGATATCTCCTAATTGCAGCACAGCAATATCAAAATTCAACCAGAGAAACCAGAAGGCAGGAAAGCAGTATAATATAGTGTAACAATGTAGGATGTAACTAGCTCTTCTAGAACTATATGTATACATGTGCATTAAATGACAATTGTTGGGTGGGTAGATATGGTGGGGCCTTGTGCCATTTGTGTAAGAATCCCAGAGGATAAGAGCTTCTTAGAGGAAGGAGCAAGAGGCAGCTCCATTGATCTGATACCTTTAATAGGCTTAGAGGTGCGGTGTGGGAAAGTGCACAGGATATCTTTTCTATTTTTCTTAGCATTCTTATTCTGTCTATCAATTATAGAGAGGAATAGGAAGTTCAAAATGTGTTAATAGGAAGTGATTGTCTTCCTAGAAAACATAATGGTGGATTCGGGTTTCCCCTAGAGATGAAAGGAGGTAAGAAAAAAAGTTGAATTCCAGCTGTTTATGATGAGTGAGTACACCAGTAACCTCTTAAATAATTTTATGTTATTACTTTGAAGGGACCTTCAAAGATCATCGAATCAAACTGCCTAACTGCTTCAGGGCTAACTCAAAGCTAAAGCATGTTAATGAGGGCATTATCCAAATGTCTTTTCTAATATTTCAAGCATGGGGTATCATCCCCCTTGTAGAGATTTCCTCTAGGAAACCTGTTCAACTGTTTGACCACCCTTACTGTAAAGAAGTTTTTTTTTACTGTTTGATCTCCTTCCTATTTCTGTTGCTCTGTTGGAGTAAAGGGAATGGAAAAACCTGGCCTTGCAGGGCACTTTGACTTAGGGAGCCCCTAGCTGCTAAAACTCACTCATAGTCCTCTCGGCACCACATACATTTTTTCCTGACAGCACCAAGAGTGAGCTGAAGTGTATGCTTACAGCTGATAGGCATTTCAGATGGTTAATTTGTATAAGTATGTATTTGATGAATCTGGAATCATGTCCGGTAGCTGGTTAGAAATCTACTGGGCATCAGTCCAGATTTAAACAGTTTTTGCTGAACTAGAAAAATCACTCTAGAACTCTAGATAGGTAGAGCCGGGGCCCCATAGGAACTGCATCCCTAGACAAATTTTGCTTCAAGATTTGCGGTTAACATAAAGGGTTTTGAAGGCCCTAATAACAGATACATTGTCAGATATCTTTCTGTTCAGTTTCTCTTAGCTGCCTTTATTCCGAGAAGCCCTAGTAAAGCTTTAAATAATAAGGACTTTCCTTTCTTGGCTGCAATTTAATAAAACAGTATAGCTCTGGTGCTCTTTTGAAGAAAATTAGTTGACTGTATTAGGACAAGAATAGATGTTGATTCTGGGCAGGGGTCTGGAAGTGGTCCAGTGGAGATGAGCAGAAACATTAGCCTCTTTAATTGGAAACATGCAAGCAGTAAACTTAGAGGGTTTTTTTTTTTTAATTATTTTAAAAGTGGCAAGACAAGTCAGTCTAAAACACGTGTCCCAGTCTAAAAAGTCGGTGAGATGGTCTGCTGGGACTTCAGTTCCTGTTGACAATTAGCAAGCAGGGTATATTCATGGCTCAGACAAACAGACAAACTGTTTTTCTATTGAGGTTAAATAAACATTGGTATTTTTGATTACTTTTGCTACATATTTTTGAAGTTCTACTGCTCTAGTTGGAATGTAAACATTTTCTGTACCTTTCAGGTTCATTGTCAGCTTTGAATACAGTAGCCTAAGAGCCCTGTTATAAAACATGACCTTTTTGTTAAATCTTTACAGAAATAGACTGTGAAATACAAATCAAATAAAGTATATAGTTGAAAAATATATGGCTTGGTCTAGTACTGTTGAGCTGCCAAGTCCTTGAGTCCAAATCATGCTTTACTTATTTCCATAAGACCATGTTCCCCGTGTGGGAAAGTGCAGATCCAAAAGTGATACTATGATTTCTTACTGAAGAGTGACATGTGAGCTTTAACAGTGTATATGAATTAAAGGATTTCTGGGAGGAGCCTGACTCAGAGTGGCCTGTACAGAACTTCAAAAATATATTGCAGTGCGTGACCATTGCCATAGATTTGTCATGAAAACTTGGAAGAATTTTTCAGTTTCTTAGCTGTTACTTCCATGTGATGACTGTACATTATACTCACCGTCTGTGCAGGGCAAACTTCTACACTAGCTCAATCTGCCAGCCAGATACACATAAGGTCTGAATTGTGAAGGGTATGGATAGTTTGTTGGGTGAAAAAATTGAGTCCTTCTCTTGGAGGAGAATGCTCATCAACTAAATCTGTATCCCAGATTTTCAATAAAACATGTTTTTCAAAATGTGGTTGTCTTTTCTTCAAAGATCAAACTTAAAGCAAGAAGTAGGCAGTCATTCCCAAAACACCCAGCAATGTCATGGCTTGAGATACTGTCATAAAGTAAGGTGCAGGAGATTCTGCTACAAGTATTCCCTTTGAACTAGGCAGAACAATGGCTTGAACCATATTGCTTTACATCCAAAGGGGAGTGCCATCAATGGAGGTCTTTTTATTCACTGAGAGTGCAAACTCACTGTTTGCAGCCCTTGTTCTCCTAACAGGTATAGGTACAAGTAAAGCAGTAGATTTTTTCACCAACACTGTGTTTCCATCTCTTCTGGCTTGATTTTACACTGTGAAGTCTATCTACAGGATATTAGGCCTGCTCACCTTTATTTCACTGAGGACAAGACTTGCTTCTTTATCTTTCTGATAACACAAAAGTCTGAAAGGAGCAGAGTCCCCAGCAGACTTGAGCAGAGGAGTCTCAAAATGCAAAATTTCAGGCATGCGCTAGGCTGTAGCTTGCTGTTACTGCTTTTTTTTTCTCTCTATTCCTGGGACAGAAATAGGTGCTCCTGCCTACACAGTTTTACACTCTTCCTTTATCTGTGTGTTAATTCCTTGCAGGCAGCTATACAGTGTAGCCATACAATTCTCAACTGTAGCATGTGTTGCAAAGTGTCCAAAATGCATAGGATTTCTGTCCGTGAGACAAATTTAACTGCTCAAGTGTAAATTCCTCTAGTCTGACTCAGAAGACAGAAGGAAACAGTGTTTTGGCCTCCTCTATTGTGGAGTGCAGTTTCCAAGACTTCCTCAAATTCTTGTTTGAACTAATGTGCATCTTTAAAAGAAGAATCCAGCCCTCATTTGAAAGCTCTTCACAATGAAGAATCCACCCAAGTTGTTCACGAGGTAATTACTTACTGTTAAAAATGTGCCTTTTATCTTGAATGTCATCTTTCAGTATCCAGCTGTCAGAACTTTTACCTTTTGTCTGCTAAACTGCAATGCATGCTGTGATATTGCTCTTTTCACTATAGGTATTTATAAACCGAACAAGTCATTCCTCAGCTTGCGTTGTTCAAGTAACTGTTTAAGCTCTCAATTTTTTTCCATCCTTTGTTCATCTCTGGCGCTCTTCTTCATATCCCTTAAAATTATTTAAATGCATTTTTAAGTGGAGCACTTAAAGCATAACAGAATTGCAAAGAGTTCTGCCATATCAACTTTCCCTACTGCTACTATCTCTCATTTTAGTAGCACCTATGGTCTGAAGTCTAAATCTTCTGTGGACCTGCTAAGGCTGGTGACCTCCTGTCCCTTAAGTATATTTCCATAGTCGTTTGAATTCACTTTGCATCCAGAAAGCAGGCCAAACTGATTTTAAGTCACCAGTCTCATATATTACTAACTTCTTCCCTCCTCCTAAACTGTTTCATCTTTAGTTATAAATAATTCTAGGTTGTATTTCAATTTAAAATAATATTAAATAATGTAGTAAGGAACAAATTTTAGGCTGTTTTTGTTTCAGCGGAAGAAGGCAGTGTTTGACAGATTACCATATACAATTAAGGGACCGTAGTTGTAATACATTTCACACCATCCAGTTAATTTCATATAATTCTGGCATCAGAGTGTGTCACATAGCACATCTCAAATACCCATCTGAGGTATAAATATATCCTTGTTTTTGTCCTCCCATCAGTTTCCAATTCCATTTAATCAGAGTAAGGTCTCAATTTTATTTGACCAGTTCTATTTCTTTTAAGCTTCATTAATTTCAGTTATTTTTGCTTTATACCTGCTTAATCAAAAATTACAGGTTATTCTAATGTTTTCTCAATGTTCTGCAGTCTATGTTCATTCAGATCCATCTTCCTATCTTCTGAAAAGCTGGAACTGTATTAGATTTTCCCTCCCCTCAGTCCTCTGAAATCTTGCCTAGCAGTCTGAAATTCATTGCAATTGTATTGCTGGTCCATAGAGCTTTGTTAGTTTCTGTTCAATTTTCAATCATTACTTACTCAGACTTGCTGACTTACAAACATTTAGCAATTGTTGTTTAAAATATCTTATTATTTTACTTTTTGAAGTGAAGTCAGGCTGTTGTCATGATATGAGAAGAATACATCTGGCCTTTCTCTAATCACTTATTCTCTGAATTTTTTCTGGAACGCTTTTGCTGTTCTGCACTGCAGCAATATGATTTCCATCTTGAAATGGAGCAGTGCCAGCTTAAAGATTCCTCCTACATCTTGTACGTTTCAAGAAATGGAGGAAGTAGGGCTTTCCAGGGCTTAAAGAGGAGTTTCATCAACTTCTTCATTGTTTTCTTCTTATTGTGATTAAATTAATTGGATTAGTTTAATGGAACTGGATACCTCTTACTATGACCGCTTAGGCAATTGCACTTTTTTTCTGTAACAGTAGCAGGAGGTTTTTTTAGGCCACTTAAATTTACCAGGGCTAAGAAATCCAATAACAGACAGAAAACCAATGCTTATTGTTTTTTAATAGATAGTATGGCTTGAAAAATTGATATGCTTTGAATGGAAAACTCACGTGTTTTTATTGGAAATGAAAATACGTTTTGTCTGGAAGTTCAGTGTTTTGCTGTTTTCAGAGAATCTTAAGCAGTGTGGAAATACTCTGGGCAATGTGGGTGGGCGAAGATATTTCCCTTTACCTTCATCACATTTTGAGTTGTTTTGGGTTTCCTGTACAGGAAATTGGACCCTAGCTTTGAAGAATGGTTCCGTCACCTCATGCTGAAGAAGCAGAATCTCTTGTAGCAGATCTCATGAGGTGAGGATAAAACTGCACCTCCTGAAGATATTCTTAGCTCAGCAAATGCAATTTTTTCCACAATGCCCCTACAATGTCTGATTTTTAAAAAATGAAAATAAAATAAAGGGTTTTATTTAGTACAAAACACTGCCGTGCCTGATAGACCTTGTGCATACTTCACAGAGGCAGAGTTAAATGCAATGAGAATTTTGTGAGTTTCGTGCTTAGTGTGTAGAATGAAATATGAGTAGATACTAGGAAAATTCTTTTTACCCAGAATACATGTTAATAATGCTTATTATGTTTTGCTACAGTTGCTTCCCACCCAGAAGTTAACAACAATATCATCAGTAGTTTTTCAAAAAGTGAGTCTTGTGTGCTACAAAATATAACGTCAAATTAGTTTTGATGTGGTCAGGGTATTCTCAAGGCTGGTGATGTGTTGTCAAGACAGCAGCATCTCAACTGGAAGGGGGGCTGTTTTTGTCTTGACACACCAAAAGAGCCCACAAGAATTATGGTATTTCTTGTCACTGAGAAGGTGGTCATGACTGTCATAAGTCTGCAGGTTCCAAGGCAGCAGTCTGACTGATACCAAATAGGCTATCAGTGTTACCTGCTGGACATGTATATAACAACACATGAAATACTATACTCAGTTTTATTCAAGGTACCCACTAGCATCCCAGTTCTTAGAAGTATTTGATCCTTTGAAACGTTTTTTTTTTTGCTTAAATTGTCTCCCATGCAAATGCTAGTGCTATGCAGCATGTCCAAACGTGCTTGGAGTTCAGGAGAGGATAGCTTTCATCACGCTGAGCTTGGCTTTCCCATCTCATTATTCATTATTCTACCCCTTACCATGCTTGCAATAATTCTTGCACAATAAAGCTTTCTGAGTTCACTCTGAAGTGGGTGGCTGACATCAGTTACATGAGAAAGGGCCAAGATGAATTCCCAAACATTTGTTTCCACACTAATTGCACAAGTAAGGCAAGTCTAAACTTGAAGATAATCATTTAAATACTAAAAAGCCTCCAAATGGATAATGGGAGCTGCAGCCAGTCCAAACTGGAAGAAAAAGAGCGGTGACTGTGCTTGAGGCTTTGTTGCTGCAGCATTTGCGGTCTGCAATGGCAGCGCATCAGTAGAGACTCCCGTAGTTAGAGAGGCAATGCTGTTCAGCATGAGGAGGTGTGTGGATGCATCAATGGCTCTGACAAGTTTGTAGTGGTAAAAAATGAAGCTGAGCATTCAGGAGATGCACCTTCTGGCCACAGCCATGCGGTCTACTTCTATGAAAATCTATGAGATGCGAACATAAGGCTTGCCTGCACATGAAAAATGCTACCCTACTCATTCTTTTCTGCTGCCAAACTTGAAGCAGTGATATTAGGCAAAGCAGAATGATGCACTGCCTCTGTCTGATCCTGGAGCCAGCAAAGTTACAGGAAGCATTGCTGCAGTCTGTAAGGCTTTCTTCTTTCAAATTCCATTGCTTCTCCAGCACAATAACACCTTCCAACCAGAGATACTGCAGCCATCTGATGTAAAAGCCCTGAGTTTATCGGTGTGCTTGGCTGGGTGACTGGAAGCAGATGAACGCCAATAAAATAAAGACTTTGAATTTCCAGGGGTGAGATTACTCCTTGATAGCAATTTTCCTGTTCTGTGTCATTATAACACCTGTGCATAGATGAGCACATATAGGGAGTACTTGTGTGATTAGTTCATCTAGCTGTAGTGGCAGTTAGTTCAAGCACTCAGCAGTCCTGCAAAGAATCACTATTAGCTCTTGAAAATAATGACAATAACAGCAATAGGCCACTGCCTGCATCATGTATTAGCATGGAGAAGGGAGGAAAACAGTTTGTTGTTCCCCAAAGACTAACTTAACTTTGGGAGCATTTCCATAATTCCATTATTGTTCCCAGTTCTGATGTGAGATCAGTTCTTAGCACATCATTTTTCAGTAAATGGGATAAAGCATTTAAAATGTAAATGTGTCTCAAAAGAAGTCTCTGTTTGCCTGGAATGGTTTCTGCTTGGAATGGAGCCAAACATAGCAGCACTCAATTCTTGAACTCTTTCATGCATTTCCATGGCACTCAAGCTGCAGGTCAGCACTGCTTTAACCCAAGCATTCATAGCATTCATAACAACATGAAATTGATATCAGCAATTATGTGCATACTTACTGTCCAACAGGTTGTACCATTAGCACTGACA